AGCCGCTGCACCCACCTCCTGCAGCTGACCGGTTCGGGCAGCAGTCTGCTACCTGGAATTTCATATGGTGTATTAACCCCTAGTCAATTTTGCTCGGATGCTCGATTTGAATAAAAGGTATGTCTGATTCAAACGTTACGCTACTCTGTATTGTGATTTTGCTCTGAGACACCTGAAAGATGTGGGTCCCCGCCCACGGCACCGCTTCAGTGCAGTGGGGGTCCACGCATGCACGCGGCTCAGACCCTGACGGCTTCAGGCTGGAGCGTAATTGGTTGACCTGCCCCAGAGTGCAATACCAATCAACCAATCAGGAGATCAGCATCCGTTGGCAGCGAATCAAGTCAGCACTGCCAGCAGCGATGAGTGCGAGCTAGGGACTGGATGACGTACATCGGCGTCACGACATTTAGGCCTGACTAAACGCACTCAGGGTCGTAGAAACTTGCGTCATCACATGTAGGTCATTCCAGCGACAAAGTGCTGCTTCCACTTTATTAAATTCGTCACCTTTGCAAAACAGATATATTTCAACGGGCCTATGCAAACGGAAAGATTAAGCATGTGCTTAGGCGCTAGGTTCTTATCGGGTTTTACGCTTGGCCAATCCCTAATGTTGACCAATGCACTAAGAGTGAGCAGCAGAGTTTGGCCAGGGTGTAGTTTGACCATCGGGGACTGTTACTTTTGAAACAAATAACTGAGGACATCTTCCTGATCGCACATCTACGAGATATAATTGACCTTGTCAAAACAACTAAACGGGTAGCATATAATTGCAATTTACGAGTGTCCCACATTTGCGCTAAAAAATTTATTGGTCAAATTTTTACATTAGAGTCTCCGTGGAGCTTTATATATGTTGAATAGTCCCCGCGGTAGGATCATTTGGCCTAGTGCTGAAACCCAATAGCAGAGGTTTCCAGTAGAACAGACACACCCGGGGGGCTGGTGCTCGAACTGATACACAGTTGGCCACTTTTCAAAATTCTATCTCGTCTCAATTTTAACGGGACAGATGAGGACCAGCTAACGCTGGCAAGACAACGAAAAACACACCGTGCACCCCCATTGGTTATCATGATTGCCCCTCATCGTCCCTAATTGATCAGCTGGGGAATGTCAGCTTCTGAACATTAGAACCCGACTTTGTAGCATTCTGGACTCTCGCGAGCCAATGTAGGCTCCCACGAGGGCCATAAGGCCTCGCGTGCGCAAATAATTCATCCTGGTTCACTTCTATCCTCTGATCGGTCCCAATACCTGCTGTCTTAGTCAAATAGACACTACAAAACCTCCGTTGCAATATACGCGGCGCAACACACCGCACACCTTCAGGTCTCGCTGACAGAGTAACCGGACATGTTAGCCGCTAGGTCTTCCTTAGCATGATCCCGCACCGTAATCCCGATCTCAGGGCACAATTCCGAATATATCTTACCTGAAGTATTCAAGACGTGATAAGCTGACAAAAACCGCATCGCCGATAGAAGCAAAGAGACGAGTCCCAGGAAGCAGTCATGAAGAGGGAGACACGATCGCTGGGGCAAGAACTTTATTCCCCCAGACGTTTCGGATTCCTGCTCGAACCCATCATCCGAGACAATAGCAGACAGGAGTCCACATGTGTGTTCTCAGGCCTCCGATACATTGAACATGTGTGAGGTGACACGCCTAGGTCTGGACTCAAGCTGCGCCCAATCGCATCATCAGATGGCTGACCGGCCCAGAGAGCCGGCCTTCAGCGCATATTCCGTCCCACTAACAGTCTGACACGCTTTTGAATAATCACGGTTTGCTAGAAGTTGCGGCCTGGAAGGCTGCCAACTGGCGAGACAATCCGACCCAGTACGGAGGGCCGGGCTGCACTGGCTCCTCAGAATGCCTTCTACGGCACTCCCACTTAGTTGGACTCTGAGGCGTCCCCCCCCACAGCTGTTGGTTCTGTGAAAACCTTGTCCAACATGAGCGGCACGTGCCGCTCGGTGCCCGATAGTTCTCACATTCTCCCCCGTGCCACTTTGTTGTCTTCTCGCGCTGCAGTGCGCACGCCGTGCCTGCCTCAACGCTGTCATTGCCTACCTTACCCGTCTTTGCCTTTGTGTTCCATTTTGTTGCTTTTTACTGACAATTATGTTTCAGTCTGTTAGTAGGCGTAATATCCGGCGTCAAGCACGTAGGGAAAGTGAAAAACTATTAGGAAGAATCAGCGACGAGGGGAGGGAAATGTCGTCGTCGGACACATCATCTAGCAGTTGGTCGGGCAGCTTCACGGACGAAGCTGAGTCCTCAACTTCGCTTGAGTACGAACACTCTCCTCCGTTGGTGGGTACCCAACGTCCCAGTGCGTCTACGTACGAAGAAGGTGATTCAACGTCAGAAGTAGAGGAGCAGGATTCAAGGTTTATTCGAAAGTCCAGTTTATTTCGTCATCCTGGGTAGAATTTCCGATTTGTTCAAGTGAACAATTACATTTTAGAGGTGTTTAATATGTGTAATAAAGACCTCCAATCTGACCGTCTGAAACTGGAAAATGCATTTAAAAAGGCGCATGCTCGGCATCAAAGAAAGTGCCGTAGGGACTCACCCAGCCGACAATCACAAGAGAGGTATTTATATATTGATGTTATTATTAAATAGCAAGGCTCTGAAACATCCGCCTTATAATTGTCCAAGAGGGCCTTGAAGTCTGTTTAAATGAGACAAAAGTTCACGAGATACCAGTATACGCCCGACTTTCTTCCCGGAATCCGGTAGCCATCAAACAACTCAAACAAAATCAGCATTTTTAGCTACCTACGAGGCGAAGGGTCCGTATGACGTAAAATTAGAAGACATATGCGTCAATGCAGGGGAATAGGACAAGCTGATTTGACAGTTATTTCCGAGAACCACTAAACATTAATTGGGCTCCTTAGGAAAGCCAACTGAGGCCGGGTCATAGTAGCTATTAGGATACTGTAACTTGTATAAGATGCATTGCAAACTCTTCTACCGAGCTTATGATTTTTATGAAAAACTAACCAAGTAGGCAGTTCATGTGTTCCGTTAATTTTTGCTTTATTATTCTAGAAATCGTTCGCAAACAGTTGTTTCCCTATTGCTTGTCTGTACTAAATGACGTCTTTTCGCGGGTTGGTAAGAAAACATGCATTTTTTATTTAAAGGCGCGTGTAATCTACTGTTTGCGGTTGATTAGGTCTGATTTTTAGATTGGCGACTGAGGTGTCATATCAAGGAAACACTCAGGAAGTTATGGGGATGGCTATGACGTGTATGGCATCAAAAACCAAGTGGAAATGATTGTTTGAACATCAAAACTGACAAGGACAGAATTTCCTACGACTTATTATTTTGGGAGGAATCCTCTGGTCTGCGATTTCTAAAGAAGCCAGGCGATACGACTTCATGCAACTGTTGATAACTAGTAGTAGAACTCCACCAAACTTAAGTTGGGCGCATCGATGAGTAATCAATGAACTGTTGTCTGAGCATGATCCACGATTGTATCCAAATAAATTTATGTCATATTTTGCACTTGATGGAATACTCGCGACTTTCAGTAGGAGTTTAAGTACTTCAGTGCTTACTAACATCTAGGTATACTTGAGCCAAATTCGAAGAGGTGGGTGAAATGCCGTCGTCGGACACATCATCCGGTAGTTGGTCGGAAAGCGACACGGATTATTCTATGTCCTCAACTTCGCTGGCGAATGAATGCTCTTCTTCCTCGGAGGGTACGAGTGAGCCTACGGACGAAGAAGTTGGTATAACGGCAGAAGTTGAGGAGGAAGATCCAAGCCCTCGTGAAAGTTTGCGAAAGTGGGCTTTACGGTCGAAAATTCCGCATTCCCACTTGAACGATCTGCTGAAGGCTCTGAAACCGTGGTTGCCTGACCTACCTGCTGACGCACGAACGGTGTTGGGCGCAACATACTTCTCTGCACCGAGCACGGCAGTGGTCAGCGGTGAGTACGTGCATTTGGGTCTTCCCACTCAGGTCAACGCACAGTTGCGTCCCTATAGGGACGTTTGGCATTTTTGTCTAGCTTCGTCGGCCACCTGGCCCGATCACGCCTCCGGTCTTCTTGACTCTGTCTTGACACCAGGTCTAGGTGGGCGGAGAAGCGGGGGGGGGGGTTCGATGCTGTGCAAGTCCACCTCCACCATAAACTAATTCACGCGCAACTCACCGCCCCTGCGCCCAGCCTGTTGTGTGGCACACGGTGGACATCGTCATTTGCTGCGCGTGACAATCTAAGTGTGAATGCCTCCTTCAACTGACGAACTTGTCACCAGGAAGAGGCAAGCGGTGCTACATAAAATGTACCTATAAACAGCCCTCCCTCCCCCCCAGCTTCCATCCCCACCTCACGGGAGAGTGACTGGCCTAGAAGAAAAGACGGTTCACGAAAGACAGAGCCCTTTTTTGTTAGGAGTGACAATTCACAGTAAGAAAGGCTATTCAAAACTACCACACCAGACTCTGCTCTACGCAGTCAACAAAGACAGCAAAATTCGCGCTGGTGCACACGTATAAAAAGAGGCT